CAGGGATGGAGAGGGAAGGGCACCTCTCCTATGGCTGCAGCTGCTCCAGGCCAGGCTGGGTTGGGACTAGGATAGTGGCACTTAAGAGGCTGCTATGCAGCCACACAGCCTAGAGGTAATTTAATTCATCGGGGAATCATATGTCTGGTGCGGGCCCATTCTAGCAGCACAGAGTTGTCACCCCTTCCTGGCTAGCCCATGCTGCATGGAGAGGGAAGGGCACCTCTCCTATGGCTGCAGCTGCTCCAGGCCAGGCTGGGTTGGGACTAGGATAGTGGCACTTAAGAGGCTGCTATGCAGCCACACAGCCTAGAGGTAATTTAATTCATCGGGGAATCATATGTCTGGTGCGGGCCCATTCTAGCAGCACAGAGTTGTCACCCCTTCCTGGCTAGCCCATGCTGCAGTGTATCGCTCCATTGTCTGCCATCACAACAGCCCAGAAAAGTCAGTGGAAAACCATTAATGATAAACGATAAACACTGAAACCACTGGGAGGTGAAAAGGAGCGTGATAAAGACAGGAGCTCGCTTCTTCTGGGAGTAAAGACAAAAGACTGATTCAATCTATCTCTGGGCAGAGAAAGACACTTAGCATCCATTCACTCTTGTTAGTGGGGGTGATTCAGGAAGGATTGGACCCTGGTTCCCGGTAAGCCAGCCAGCTCTGCCACCATCTGAATTTTGCAGGGGAAAACCTACTTCATTAGCTAGGAAAGGGAGCTTATTAATAAGGGTCGGACCCAGGTTCCATTTTATGATGTTTTGTAGTGTAACCATCTACTGCCATCTCTCAGAAGCTTTGTTCTTTCTTAAATAAACCTCCTTTTAGGCCTTGTCTACATGACCAAGGCAAAACTTATGTCAACACCCAAAACTCGACAAAACAAAAGTCACCAGAGTGGTTCACAGTAGGGATGTAATAGTGTAGTCAATTTACCAATGAGCATTAACCAATAAGCTTTTGCTTTAGACTACACACATTTCCCTCCCGCCCTCTTGCCAGTAAATTTTTTAGCAGGTTGGCCATCAGCCTGGGTCAGTTCTAGCTTGCACCAGGTCCAGGAGCTCAGACCCATCCTCCTCCCAGACAGGGGCTGCTGCCACTCCACCCTGCTGCCTCTGATACAGGGCAACAGGCAGCCAGTCTGCGAGGGAGGCTGGTTTTTAAACCGGCTCTTCTTGTGGACCAGCTCCCCAAGCTGCTGGGGTGGCCTGGCACCCCAAGCTGCTGCCTCCTTTTGCGCAAAAACTTGCCAGCTGTCTACACTGGCCGCTTGAATTTGCGTAAGAGCACTGACTTTGTAATGTACAAAATCAGTGCTTCTTGTGCAAATACTTTCACGCTCCCGCTTGGGAAAAAGCCCTTGCACAAGAGGGCCAGTGTAGACAGGGAAGAACTGTTTTGGTGATCGGGGCTTTCTTGTGCAAAATCGCGTCTAGACTGGCTACGGATGCTTTTGCGCAAAAGCATCCGTGCCAATCTAGACGTGCTTTTGTGGAAATACTTTTAACGGAAAAACTTGGAGGGCCCTGCTCTCTCCATAGCTTTGCAGGAGTCTGTTTGATGTTCCACGTACCAGGGAAAGGGTTTGCTCTTCTATCAGCCTTTCATCCTTCAGGGCAAATTTGAGGCTGATTTATAGTTTACCCCCAGATGTGAGCTTTCCAAGGTTGAGATGGCCAGCAAGGAAAATGTGTGTTATGAAATACTGTTCTGTGCCCAGAGGTGTGTGACGCGAGGGGGCAGGAGGGAGGGGAAAAAAAAAAGACTCAGCACCCATATAAGCTGCAAGTTTTATGGACCCGTTGTGCCCTGGCACCAGGAATATTCATGGCACCACCAAAATTTTTGCAAACCTGCCATCCCAGTCAGCAGGGCCAGACTAAGGGGTGGGCGTGCCGGGCAGCTGCCCGGGGCGCCAACTGATGGGGGGGCGCCTGATGGCAGCTGTAAGGGGCGCACGGTGTCCCTTATAGTTGCCATCAGGCGCCACACACCCGGCTCCCGCAGCGCCACTCCCCTCCCCGTGGCGCTGGCCATCAGCGCCCTTCCCCCCATGGCCACGGGGCCCTGCACGGCCAGGCGCTGTGCACCAGCAACGGGGGCCGGGCTGGGCAGCACAGCGCATGCACCGTGTGCACCCGGGGCAGGCCCATGCATGAGCCATGCACCCCGGGCGGGCCTTGCACCCGGAGGCGGTGCCAAGTCCCCGGGGCACCAGAATGACTTGGGCTGGCCCTGCCAGTCAGCACCTTTAAAAGTCCCTAGATTCATAGAGTTTAAGGTCATTAGATCATATTGTCTGACACGCCCTGTGTAACACAAACCAGAGCATTTCACCCAGTTACCTGTCTAGTGGGCTAATGTGTCAGGCACATGGGAAGTCCCCCCCCATCCCAGACATGCATGTGAGCAGCCCCTCCAATGGGAGGCCTTTACAGCCCCAGGCTTACCTCAGCTTCTGGATGTTTGAGGAGACCCCAGAGAGCCTGTAGATCCCGTCCACAATGCCGTGCTGCTCGACAAACTCTGTGCAACTCCTCAGCACCTGAGGGACTGGGGGAAAGAGGAGAGTCAGCTGGAGCCCTGCAGCCAATTGGGGAGAGTCATGGACATGAAGGCCAAAACCGTGAGTGAGCCCCCATCATCTCCTCTGGAGCAGGAGGTCTCCTCTGCGCTGTCCCCCACCGTGGACACACACCCTGCCTGGCTCTCAAGTGGGAAGACAGGCAGCAGTTCCCACCTCTCTGGGCCTCAGGGGTCCAACACAACATTCAGACCCATGCAGGGAAATCTGAGATCTCAGGGGCGCAGTAGCTGCAGGAAAACATTAACATGGGGCTGTAGAGAAAGGACTGGTCTACACAGGGAGTTAATGAGGAACATCTGATCTGCTTTAAATTCAGATTACTCCAGATTAGGATATTTGTGTAAACGTGTAACCACTGGAAGTTTTAGCGGTTTCACACAAGGGGGAGGGCAGGTGGGAGTGCTTGTGGGGAGCTGGCTTATCAGATGATCATGTAATTGACTACACATTGACATTCCTAATCCAGATTACTTGACTTTACTCGGCTGTGTCTACACTGGGCCTCTTATTCTGGAAAATCAGCCGCTTTTCCGGAATAAGTTGCGAGCTGTCTACACTGGCCCTTGAATTTCCGGAAAAGCAATGATGCTCTACTGTACAAAATCAGCTGTTATTCTGGAAAAACTATTCTGTTCCCGCTCGGGCATAAGTCCTTATTCCGAAACACTGTTCTGGAAAAGAGCCAGTGTAGACAGCCCAGTAGTCTTTTCCGGAAAAAAGCCCCGATCGTGAAAATGGCAATCGGGGCTCTTTTCCGGAAAAGTGTGTCTATATTGGCCACAGACGCTTTTCCGGAAAAAGGGCTTTCCCGAAAAAGCACCCTGCCAATGTAGACGCTCCTTTTCCGGAAAAACTGAAAACAGAATAGTATTCCATTTTAAGCATTTCCGGAAATTCATGCCAGTGTAGACACAGCCCTCCAGTTTACCTTTCCAGTGTAAACCAATTCCTTGCTGCAAGGTCAGCTCTTAGCATGAGCTTTGAGAAGCAGCTGTCCCAGGGCATTGCAGCAAAAGGGCCCTGGTTAGGAGAGCCGCATAGAACCCATGCTGGGGACTTTCTGCCTCCCAGCTCCCTGAAAGGCAGAGGCTGTTCCAAATCAGTCCTGTGCAATTATAGGTGGTGATCCCCGCAGAATACATTCTTCAGACCATCCTGAGCCCTCTTGGCGAAGGGGTCTGGCCTGGGAAGAATTTGGCATTTGCCACTCAGAAACCAGAAGACATGGAGCACCCTGCTGTATGAGAGAAGAGGCAGGGTTGGGCTGTGAAGATGGGCTGGGGAGGAGAGACCAGCAAGTGTCTGTGATTCATCCCCACCTTCCTACAGTCCTCAGAGGCCAGCCCTGGCAGCAGGGGGGCAAATACTGCACACAACGCAGCTTGTTCAAGGTGTTCCACCTGTCACCCCTGAACTCCCCCACTCCAGCAGGACCTGCCTGACTCTGCCCAGTACAGCCCTTAGCCACACTCAGCTCTCCTCCCACACAACATGTCACTGGCCTAATGCCCAGGCTGCTCCTGTGGGTCTCCTGGCCTCACTGGAAACGAGGTTCACCTCACAGTGATTACCAACAACTGGCATGAGCTCCCCTTTGCCCTCTCCCCCAGATAATCCTGCATCTCCAGTGGCTACATGGGTAACCACATGGGAATCATTAAAAAAGGGACAGAGAATAAGACAGCAAATATCTCATTGCCTCTATATAAAACCATGGTAAGCCCACATCTTGAATACTGCATACAGATGTGGTTGCCTCATCTAAAACACCAATATCTTAGCATTAGAACAAATTCATTACAGGGCAACAAAAATGATTAGAGGTTTGGAGCAGGTCCCATATGAAGAGAGATTAAAAAAACGGGGACATTTCACCTTAGAAAAGAGGAGACTATGGGGGATATGACAGAGGTGTATACAATCATGATTGGTGTGGAGAAAGTGAATATGGAAAAGTTATTTACATGTTCCCATAACATAAGAACTAGGGGTCACCAAACGATGTTATAATGGGTAGCAGGTTTAAAACAAACAAAAGGAAGTTTTTCTTCACCCAGCGCACAGTCAACCTGTGGAACTCCTTGCCAGAGGATGTTGTGAAGGCCAGGACATTAACAAGGTTCAAAAAAGTACTAGATAAATTCATGGAGGATAGGCCCATCAATACTTTTTAGCCAGGATGAGTAGGAATGGTGTCCCTAGCCTCTGTTAATCAGAGGCTGGAAATGGGTGATAGGGGAGGGGTCACTTCCTCTGGGGCAGCTGGCATTGGCCACTGTCAGAAGACCCAATACTGGCCTTACATCAGGGCTGGGCAAAATACAGCCCGGGGAGGTGGCAGAGCTACAGGGACCCTCAGGAACACGCAGCTGCCGCGTTTAACACAGACCCTGCATTTCTCTGCTCTGCAGGGAGGGGGAGGCTTCATGCAGTCGTCCCCTCTTTGCCCAATTGAAAAGAGTATGGAGAAAGGCTGTTTACAGAGTGACAGATGAGAGAACAAGGAGAGATTGGCCTGAGAGACTGGGGCAGCCTGACTTGAGAGCCATGTGCAGGGAGCAGCCTGTATTTTCCAGCAGGCTGGGGCTGCTGGGCAGGAGACAATTAGGTAAACTCCTCCCAGCCAGCGCCTGCCTCTGGCACCCCAACCCCTCCTGCATCCCAGCTCCCTCCTCCAGATCACAATCTGCACCCCCTGTCCCAGGTGACAACTTCCCTCTCAGACCCTGTATTCCCTCCTACATCCCTCCCCCAGGCCAGAATCCTCTCCTGCACCCACGCTCCCTCCCTGACCCTACAGCCCCATCCCCTGACCCAGGTCACAACTCCCTCTTCCACCCAAACACCCTCTGAGACCTCACGCCGTCTCCTGCACCCCAGTTCCTTACTCCGTGCACCTTTCTGCACCCATCCTACACCCGAGACCCCCCTCCACTGAAAAGTGTGGCCTGTGCACCTTATCAAAATCTTGGAGTGGCCCCCCCACCAAACATTATTGCCCACCCCTGCTGCCTTAGATGGACCTTTGGTCTGACCCAGTGTGGCTGTTCTCATGTGCATCTGCAAGAATTCCACAGATATCCGCATCCACATCTCCGGATACCCAGGTATATAAAGCAGATAGCCACAAATTCGCAGGGCTCTAGAAACCAATTTATATCCACATCTGTCTCCTCCCCCTATTATCTAGCATGAGAACCGCATGACTATGTGTCCAGGCCTTACAAGACTAAGAAAAAGCAAAGTATGACCCAAGGAGAAGGATGGCCTGCGGGCTAAGACATCACACTGAAAGACCTGGCTTTGATTCCCTGCTCTGACACAGCTATCCTGTGTGTGACTTTGGCCAATCATGTAATCGACCCTGTGCCTCAGTTTCCCATCTGTGAAATGTCTGTTTAGATTTTTTGGGAACGGTCTCCTATATGTACGTGCAGCACCTAGCACTGAAATTCATCCTGAGCCTCTACCTTAATATTACGAAGAAATTATAACAATGTTCCGATTGCAGTTACCATGTATTCTGGCTTGCACTCTGTGTCACCTGTACAGCTGCAGATCAGGTCCGGACCCCCCGCCCCTCCTCCACTAGGGTTATCAATTTTGGTTGGACGTGTTCCTGGAGGTTTCATCAAATGACATAATCTTTAATTAAAGATGAATCTTTAATTCATGGAGATTCCAGAACCATGCTGGGTCCTACTCCTTAGGTCTCTGCTTGCAGGGACCTTTCAGTACATTTGATGGGCGTTAAGCAAAAAAGGAACACAGCTGCGCCTGACGGCGTGGTTTCTCGTTGGGGAGGTCTGACTGGCTGGAGTCACATCAGTTGATTTCATTTCTGTACCACATACAGGAAATGAAATGCGCTCCCAGGATGAGGAGCGAAATCTCTGTGCTCAGTCGGGGCGGGGGGAGGGGAAAAGTGTACGAGTGTGTGTGTGGGCGCGCATGTGTGTGCGTGCGTAGGCAAAGGCATTAGAGATGTGGAAAGAGAGAGACATCCACTGCCTTAATGGATGTTCTTGTATCAGTTTAAAACTACTCACATCGGTTTAGTTGGTGCCTGTACCTTTACCAACGCAAGATACACCAATATGTCAGGTTTAAATCCATCTGCCAGCAGCCACACACAAAACTGTGCCCTGATGCTGCTGAACAGGATAGCTGGCTTTCATGGTCTCATGATACATGGTGTGTAACAGCTCCAGCAGCTGGAGTCAGGGGATTACACAAAGGGCTCTGCTTTCATGTAACCACCTCCTGGTTCTTAAGCCTCGTGGTTGCAGAGAAAAGCTGAAAAATGTGACCCCTGAGCTACGTCTACACTGGCATGAATTTCCGGAAATGTTTAAAACGGAACAGTTTTCCAATATAAGTATTTCCGGAAAAAGAGCGTCTACATTGGCAGGATGCTTTTCCGGAAAAGCCCCTTTTCTGGAAAAGTGTCCGTGGCCAATATAGATGCGCTTTTCTGGAAAAAAGCCCCTATCGTCATTTTCGCGATCAGGGCTTTTTTCTGGAAAAGACTACTGTGCTGTCTGCACTGGCCCTTTTCCGGAACAGTTTTTCAGAAAAAGGACTTTTGCCCGAGCGGGAACAGCATAATTTTTCTGGAAAAGCAGCTAATTTCATACAGTAGATCGTCAGTGCTTTTCCGGAAATTCAAGGGGCCAGTGTAGACAGCTCACAGCTTATTCCAGAAAAGCGGCTGCTTTTCCGGAATAAGTGGCCCAGTGTAGACACAGCCCTGATGTCTGAAGCACCAGATGGCAAAGGACAAGACCCCACGGTGGATTAGTTTAAAAAACTCTACGTGCTTTTGAATGTTCTCACATTGTTTTAGGGGCTGAGGCCTGATTTTTCAACACTTGGGGTAGGTGATCCTGGAGCTCTGCAATTTGCTGGAAGCAAAAGTACTAGAGCAGGTGCCTTTCCCCCTTCTTCGCATAGAGACTCCTGTCCG